AATAAAGAATGACAAAGAACTGCATTTGTATTTTGAAAGAAAGGTAATGGAGGGTAAGAATAAAATGAGTGTTATAAATGCAGTAAGAAACAAACTTGTTCACCGGGTGTATGCCGTGTTGAGAGATGAGAGAGTTTTTGAGGAAAACTATATAAGAAGGTGTGCATAAATAGAAAAATAATTTCAAAAAGTGAGTTTGGTCATGTCATAGAAAACTCGCCGCCATTTGTAATCAAATCATGATGTTGATATCGGAGCCGCCGAGTCCCGCACTGTGTTCGCCTATATAAATGTATGATTGCGTTGCGGAGACATCGGCGGGGAAGCGTTAGCGGGAAAAGATAGCCGTCAGTAAAAGGATGCGTGCGGCTTGCTTCCTCAAACAATCAAACCAAATATTACGTTAATCCTTTATATTTATTGATGCCAAAACCAACAAGCATGAGAAAACTATTCGTCCTTACCGGATTATTGATCTGTACCCTGCTGGCCAACGCCCAGAAAACGACCGCCATTAAATGTGGCAAACTGCTGGATACAAAGACGGGGCAGGTGCTGACCAACCAGGTTATTCTGATAAAAAACAATTTAATTGAAAGCATTTCACCCGCTGCCGGCTTCAAACAGAAAACAGACAGCGTTATTGACCTCTCCGGCTATTTTGTATTGCCTGGACTGATAGACTGCCACACCCATGTATTGCTGCAGGGTGATATCACCAGCGAAGATTATGATGTGCAACTGCTGAAAGAATCCATTCCGTACAGGACCTTAAGGGCCTCGCGCAGCGCAAAAATGGCGCTGGAATATGGCTTTACTAGTATACGTGATTTGGAAACAGAAGGTGCCATGTATGCCGATGTGGATGTAAAGAAAGCGATCATTAACCAGGTGATTCCCGGTCCAAGAATGCAGGTAGCTACCCGGTCCATTGCCACGGTTGGGCATTACCCCATTGCCGCAAAAGATTATGCATGGGAATTAAGCCTGCCTAAGGGCGTACAACTGGTAAATGGGGCCGATGAAGCCCGGCGCGCCGTGCGTGAACAAATTTCTTACGGGGCCGACTGGATAAAAATCTATGCCGACCGCGGATACTACCGCCTGCCCGACGGTAGCTATCGCAGCCGGCCCAATTTCACGAAAGAAGAAATAACTGCCATTGGCGATGAAACGCTGAGCTCGGGAAAGAAATTGGCGGCACATGCTGTTACCAGGGATGGTATTATTGCCGCCATCAATGCTGGCGCATCTACCATTGAACATGGTTTTGGTATGGATGAGGAATGCGTGCAGCTGATGGTGAAGAAGGGCGTTTTCTGGTGCCCTACTATTTACGTGTGCGATTATGTGGCAGAAGGAAGGGCAAAAGCAGGGTCACCCATCAATAAATATTTTATGGAAACATTGCCGGCAGTTTTTAAGAAAGCGATGAATGCCGGTATTAAAATCGCCTATGGAACGGATATTGGCGGCTATAGCTGGGATGAACCGCAGGCAAAAGATTTTGAATACATGGTGAAGTATGGCATGAGCAACCTGCAGGCCATTCAAACCGCTACTACCGTGGCCGCAGACCTGTTTGGCATGGAAGGTAAAATAGGTGAACTGAAAGCCGGTGCTTTTGCAGATATCATTGCTGTGAAACAGGATCCACTGCAGGATATTAAATCGTTGGAACAGGTAAAATGGGTGATGAAGGATGGGGTGGTGTATAAAAATAGTAAATAGAGATTGGTTCATTAATTGAAAACAGTTTCTTCTTTTTTCTTGATAAAAAAGAAGCAAAAAATCAAGGCTTCATAAAAATGGCTAAAATTTACGGCATTGCGCTACAGCGAACCATGCTCCGGTCAGCTTTGTATCTATGTCTGGCCAATGCAAATCCCTGCTGGAAAGCAAATCTGGTCATGGTCGCTGCTTAACGCTTCATACCGTAAATTTTTTAACGCCATTTTTTTGAGGCCATTACCTCTATTGGAAGTCCTTGTGCTGTTGCTCTGATCCTACTGCGGAAATTGCTTAAATCTCCGTTACTGGTTTACCCGGTTTTGCATACGCCAGTCTTACCAATGGTTCGGGTTTATAATAGGCATCAGCACCCAGCGATGCCAGTGTGCCGGCATTTTCCAGCGCTAAAAAACCATCCTGCTGCACCAGCGAAGGGTCAATCAAAATATTGGTGATAGATCCAATTACCAGGAAGGTATTATTATGTTTGATGGGAACGATCTCTTCTAATTGCAAAGCGTATTTGATCCTGCTTTCTGCAACAAATGGTGCAATAATGCCCTCTTTAAATTCCGGCAACAGTTGCACTTCTTCAAACTCGTTGATACCGGCCCCGTATTTGGCGCTGGTCTGGTGCGCCTGCTGCACAAAAGAAGCATGTATATGGTTAATGGTATAGACGCCGGTGGCCTCTATGTTTTCAATTGTATGGTGGGCAGCGGCCAATGGGCGGTTGATATAACCTACCAGTGCAGGATCTGATCCCAGGTGTACGATACTGCTGAATACGGCCAGGTTAGGCAGGCCCTGGGTGTTCACTGTTCCAATCAGGCTCACTGATTTAAAGCCGGTAAGGCT